ATCAGATAATATCGGATAAATATTATAACACAGAAATAATATAATTCAAAGAAAAATTAAATAAGGTTAGAAATACGGCCTGATGGTCGAGGTGTACAAGACATTGTCCCAAGAATCTAATTGCCCCCTCTCGTACTGGACTACGTAGCAATAGTTCTCGGAGATACAACGACCCTCGGTCAGGCGACCTCCTTCTCGTCGACACGAGCTTCAAAAAGGCTTTGCGAATTCTTCTCAACTTTCAGGGAACTAGCGGAAGTGTAATAGCAGAAAAATATTTTCGAAAAGAGAAGAGGAAGAGAGGAGATCTGTTTCTTAACACTGTGTTTAACCCTCGCATATACCGGTCTTTATATAGGTTGAGAGTCGTGTCCGTTATCGTACAAATCCTGCTAACCGTTTCGTCATTTAAGTCCATAAATCCACAGTTAATATGTTTTAATTATCCTAGTCGTTACAAAATATTTATCACGTTTTGTAAAAGAAAAACATTAATCACGATTTTAATCTGCATCATATTAATTATGTTTTAATTATTTCAATTAGCAGAAAACAAAATGTAGCAGGTTAAGAAGCCCCTCAATCCGGAGCTGCATTCGTGTCCGCAGGTCGTGTGCGCGTAGGGGTGTCCAAAAAGCCCGGAGCCCGGGCCCGGCCCGGGCCCGAAACCCGGGCCAAGTCAGGGCTCCGGCCCGGGCCCGGCCCGGCCCGGAATAGTATTTGTTATTTTTTTTATTTTTTTATGTATTATATATGTATATATAATATATTTTTATATATGTATAATATATGTATATATATATATAATATATGTATATATAATACATTTCTATATATGTATAATATGGGTGTGTATATATACTCTCTCTTATATATGTATAATGTATGTATGTATGTATATATATACTCTTTCTTATACTATACATGTATATATAAGTATACTCTCTCTTATATAAGTATATATAATATATAGGTATACACTCTCTTATATATGTATAATATATGTGTGTGTGTGTATATATACTCTCTCTCTTAGTATAGATGTATATATAAGTATACTCTCTCTTATATATGTATAATATGTGTGTGTGTCACTGTGTGTGTGTGTGTATACTCTCTCTCTTAGTATATATGTATATATAAGTATACTCTCTCTTATATATGTATAGTCTCTCTTATATAAGTATATATAAGTATACACTCTCTAATATATGTATAATATATGTGTGTATATATATATACTCTCTCTCTTAGTATATATGTATATATAAGTATACTCTCTCTTATATATGTATACTCTCTCTTATATAAGTATATATAAGTATACACTCTCTTATATATGTATAATATATGTGTGTATATATATATACTCTCTCTCTTAGTATATATGTATATATAAGTATACTCTCTCTTATATATGTATAATATGTGTGTGTGTGTGTGTGTATACTCTCTCTCTCTTAGTATATATGTATATATAAGTATACTCTCTCTTATATAAGTATATATAGGTATACACTCTCTTATTTATATATGTATAATATGTATACTCCCTCTTATAAAGGTATACTCTCTCTTATATATGTATACTCCCTCTTATATAAGTATACTCTCTCTTATATATGTATAATATGCGTGTGTGTGTATACTCTCTCTCTTAGTATATAAGTATAGTATATTACAACGGCTACTTCTTCCACCCTATCCCAAGCCCGGCTGGTGCGCGCGCGTGTGGTGTAGAACATAACCTTTATTTTCTTCTAGGCATAAGAGAGAAGAGAAATGCTTATAAACACTCTTCCTTTCTATTCCATTTCCTATGTAGGTCTAAACTTTCTCATTACCATGTAAAGTTTTAAGTAACACTTATTATAACTCCAACAGAGATTGTGACTGTATGGGACAACATTGCATGAGCTTGATAACTTTGGACCTCGTGTACCATTTTTGGATGTATTAGGCTCTTTATCACCCTCTCAGGCAACTACCAAGAAGTTTCCTCCAGCAAACTGACTCTGCAAAAGCCAACAGATTTCAGGGGCCAAAGAGCACCTCCTCCCCCCAGATTTTTTTTGGCACTTTGCTAATTTTGCTGTTATTATATTTGGATGTACTTTCGGCGGTTCATCATTTTATGGTGCTGATAAGTTATGAGGATAGCCGAGAGTGGCTTTATTGCTGCTTCTCATTTCTCAACTAGGGGACTTGGGTGCTTTGTATAGTAAGGGGAGAGCAAATAGTCAGTTCGGTTGGTTGTGATCAGTAGGCCTGTCTAAACGTGTCGGTCCGGTCCGGCCTGGAAAACGGGGCCTGGGCTGAGTAATATCGGGGCCCGGACTCGGACATAGTTGGCCCGGGCCGGGCCGTTTTTTATTTTTATTTTTTAATTTTTTAATTTTCAAGAATACATAGCAAAAAACTAAACAAAATTTTGATAAAAACAATCATATTATTAATCACTTGTAATTATATAATTTACAGATATAAAAAATCATAGAAATTAAAATGATAAAAATAACTTCTTTATTAATAATCAGTCAATCATATGAAAAACCATAATTTAACAATTAACTAAAAACTCTACATATGAAAAAACCATAATTTAACAACTAACTAAAAATCTCAACATATGAAAATGACCGGCCTGACCCGGTCATTTTCATTTTTTGGTAAAAATTAGATTAATATTATTATATTTATATATGTATGTATTAGTATATACTTACAAATTATTATATAACTATTATTATATATACATATATTATATGTAAATATATTGTATATACTTATAAGTTATAACTAGAGAGAGAGAGAGAGTCAGAATCACATAAGCATATATTACTTATTTATAAATATGTATTATATAGTTATATATATTTGTTACTTACATTATGTTTATTTAAGTATAGCTATACAGTTTACTTATATGATATACTTTGATATATACTAGATGCAATATCTTATATATTATTATAATTATGCATTTATATAATATACTTATATAACTGTAATTCTATAATATACACATATAAGTATACTTATGACTACATTATATATATATATATATATATATATATATATACATCAAGAGGGATACTAGAATGTGAAAAATAAGACAACATAAAGAATAAAAGAATTATTACTTACGGATTTGCCAAACTTGGTGTGTTGGGGTTTTAGAATATGTAGATCAAGTTCAACGAAGCGGATCATCCATAATGTCTCTCAATTATGTAATTTTAGAGGCGTCAAAGAGGAAATCCCCTCCTATGACAAGGATACCCATTAATCTCATATATATATATATATATATATATATATATATAGGTATCCTTGTCATAGGAGGAGATTTCCTTCCTTGTCGCCTATGTGGCACAATCCCCACCTTCCTCATAAAGTAGACACAAATCCCTACTAACTCACACTCTCTCTCCTACTTTATGAGGATGATGGGGATTGTGTTACATGGGTATCATTGTCATAGGAGTGGATTTCCTCCTTGACGCCTATGTGGCACAATCCCCACCATTCTCATAAAGTAGAAGAGTGTGTGTGAGTTGGTGGGGATTTTTGCCCACTTTATGAGGATGATGGGGTTTGTGCCACATAGGCGACAAGGAGGAAAATCTCCTCCTATGACAATGATACTCATTAATCTCTATATATAAGAAAAATAGGTATGCTAACACAAGTTTTTGTGTTTGGTAGTGAGATATCATATTCACCTCCACTCATTGAAATCGGGAGCCACATTTACATGGGTTAGGGAGTGGTTGGGAATTAAAATGAGTGGATGAGAATATGACACATCATGACCAAGCATAAATTTTGTGACCGGACCGGGCCCAAGCTTCACCAAGATAGGCTGGGCCTAGGCCCGGAGCCCGGTTAGGCTCGGGTTTCTGGGTTGGGATTGGGCCTGGCCGGGTCCGGGCCGGGCCCGGGCTTTTGGGCCCAAATGGACAGCCCTAGTGATCAGTTCCAATCAAATTAAATCGAATCAGCTTGGAATTAGAACTAACCGAACCAAAGTAAATTATTTTGGTCCGAATCAATCCGAGAGCAGCCTAGTTAGTAGTTAAGAATCATTGCGATAAAAACATTTAATTTTATGATCTTTAGGCAAGTTTCAAACAACTTAAATATTAAAGATTTAAGGAACCAATACTAAGAAACCGTTTTTTTTTAATTTAAGCCAAATCACAACTATTAACTACACAACAGATGGTTATGATTATAAATAATATCTCTCATCCATTAGTGGAAGAATTTGAGACTCGCGCTTGAATTTAACGTCGATGGGCTTTGCTAAAGGTTGGTCCAACAAGGCCCATCAAGCCCAGTAGAGACGTGCTCTTTTACTTAAAATCTTAAACATAAGCTTAATTAAGATTTCATATTGGAGAGAGTAGATTTTAATCAGAAAGTGAGATCCAATATCTGGATTAATTTCTTTTTTGCTATTAATTTTAGTTTGAGTTCACAAGCGCGGAAGGATACTTTTCAAGGTCGTGTTTATTTGGGCGCCTAAGCTACTGTAAGCAGACGAACGAAGCTGAAGTTTTCGTGGGGCTTAAATAGGCGTCCAGACTTGCAGGGCCCAAGTAAGGCCTAACTAAAAGTATCCAACAGTGGGCTCTTAATAAAGTCATAATATATGGCCGTTTAAATCATAGAAAACAGTGCATAAAATTCGATAAAATTATACATTTATTACTTTTTACTTTAAAAGAGAACTCAGGACCGCAGAAAGGCTCCACCTGTTGATTATATGGGCTGGTCTACTCAAAAAAAAAATAAACAAACAATTTATACGTACCAGTCTGGCCCATGGGCTGATAGCCTCAAAACACTGTTAGGCCCCAAAAGAGCGAACGAGCGGCGATCCAACCGTCCAATTTCCCCCTTAACCTAATCCAACGGGCGATAATCCATCACGTTGCCCTCTTCCTTCGTATATATAATACTACTGATGGAGGAGATGCTTTCTCCTCTTTCGTTCTCTCTCTAAAAAAGTCGCAACATTTGAGGAGCCTTCATTCGTTAGCTGAGCCCTAGCCTCCTCCTCCTCCTCATCTCCTCACCCCGCCTCCCCGGTGCCTACGCCGGCGGCAGAAAGCTACCGTCTTTCGCCGTCTCCGGTGAGTTTTCTTATCGATCTCTAGCGTCCTCCTTTTTGTTCTTTTATTATGCAAGTGTTTTGTAATTAATCTGCTAGTTTGGTTAGTGATCTTTGACGCCTGCCCTAGCTCTGCAAAGTTCTCGGATCCTATTTTTTTTTTTTTTGGGATTTTGAGATTTAGGTTTAGTTTTATCTGATTTAGGGTTTAGGGATTTGCGATTTGTGTTTTTAGTTGAGTATTCTGTGTTAACTAGTTGTAAAGCTTTGCCCCCCCCCCCACCAATTTTGAATTTCTATTGGTTCTGCTTGCCAGGGTTATTAGGGTATGTTTGGTGATGCGGTGGTAGTGGGTCTTAACAACCTTTTGATTTCTGTTCGTTAGTGAAAGTTTTAGAAAATGTGCATGAACCATATTTATAGTTACAGCTCAGGTGTAGGTTTATCTTACCCAATGTTTTACTGATTTGGTGATTCTGTTTCTAAGTTGAAATGCTTCTTTGTTTTTCCTTTTGGGGTTTTTTCCCTAAGCGGGTTAAATTGATAATAGATTATACTTTCTGGAATAATTAGGGTTTGTTTGGATTTCATGGTTAAGAATCTTAAGATGGGTCTAGCTGCGAAAGTTTTAGAAGGTCGCTGTGTGACAAGCTAAAAAATTCTGGTAATTTTTTTCTCAGAAATTATTTGCTACCGTTCGTATGTGCAGAAATGTCTATATCTGTAGATAACATTCTTGTGGGAAACTTTGTTGGAAATTTCACATGACCCTTGTTGTGATCAATAGTACATCAATGATTCGAAAAGCGATAGAATGATTATAGTTTAGTGATTACAGGGTAGTAACTCATTAAATGTAGACTTTTCTCTATTAGTTTCATTTTATCCAACATTGACTGAATCTTTATTTATCTGAAATTTGACCTGTTTCTTTGTTGTTCTTTTGGTTAGGATTCCTTTTTCATGTCTTTGGTTCTGCCATTGTATGTTTAGTTGGTTGTCCGGAGTAATTTTTTTTTCAAACAGGATAAGGATAGTATGGTGTCTACTGTTTACCTAGTTACTGTTTTGAATTTGTGTGGATAAATAAAGTTTTATACAAGGTGTTCTATCTCAGTGTAAATATTCACACTCCTGAAAAGTATAGTGAAGATAACAAATCATGATTATTCTTATTGTTTTGTTCTCCTGTGTTACTGCTCTGCTGGGAAATTTGGCCTTTGGTTTTGATTATGTCCCTCGTCCAATCCTTTTTCTCCGTGTTTGATGAAGCTTGTCATTATTCACATTGGACACATCAGTGTCTCCAGAGCGGTGTTTACCTTTGTAGAAGGGACCTCTTTGAGGAATTTCTTATGTCATTAAACCAAGGTTTCTTCTCTTTGGGCAGCCCTCAATGTTTCATACCATAGTAATTGGCTGCTTCTCTCTTTTATGATTGTGCTTTTGGGTTTTTTTTGTACTTATTCTGTATAGCTTTCCTTTATCATACCTTTTCTCTGCTTTGGTGAAGCTTGTCATAGTCACCTGGGGCACGTCCCAGATTGTTGTTTACCTTCGTGGGATGAAAGTTTTTGAGGAATTGTGTATGTCACAATACGAAGGCTTCTTCCCTTCGGGCAGGCCTCGGGTTCAAAATCATAGCAATAGGCAGGCTTCTCTCTTTTCTCAATCAACATGTTAATATTTGAGTTTAAGGTCTCCTTTTACCTTTTGTGTTTGCAGCTGACCTCCACTTGAATGGTTTATTAAATCAGATATTTGCATAATGGAAAGACAAACATGATAACAGCTTTTAAGTTTTACATGCATTTTCTGTTATGCAGTAAGAGGTTATGTTCTTGTATACATTTATTTTCTGTTCTTGTATAAGTTATGCCGTTGAGGTTTTCTATTATATGTTATATGATATGAAGAGGTTAGGTTCTCAGTCAATGCTAACCTATACAATAATAACTTGGATACCAATATAGTGAAAATATAGTGTCACACTACTAGGTTTCTAGAAATATATAACCGACATAGTAGGGTACAAGTTTTTTCCTATTCCCTTTTCTGAATAATTACCAATAGACGACCCTCTCATATTGTTGCCTGAGGTTTGGTTTGAACTTGTGAGGTTCTCGTCTCAAATCACATGCCTTCCCAACTTTCATGTCTCTTTTATATTGAAAAAGAAATATTAGATGTATTTTATGGAGAAATAATGTCAATATTTTCTATTTTTTTATTATTATGTTGGCTTTGCTGCATCATGTTTTTTTACATTGTGGACAAAATGCAATTTCGTCCAATAGAACTGTACATCACTGAATTTCTTTTGCTGCTTGTTGTCAGATCTGTTCATCTGAAGGAACTAATCCAAGGTGTGATATTTGCTACTTCGAACGGCTTTTATTATCTTGTAGTTGATACTGCTTGACAATTATGGATGGCCGGACTCTCTTAATCACTTATTCACCCGAGATTATTGACGGTGAACCTATCCTCATCTCATCAAATTCCTTCCCTGTGAAAGCATCACGTTTTGAACCAGCTGGGCTTGCATTTCATTTAGCTGCACTTAAACTTTCGGGCTTTGAGGAGGAAGAAGATGCAGATGCAGATAACCAAAGTGAAGTATCAGATGACAAAGGACAAACTTATATGACATCTTCAGATTCCTATAGTACAAAAGGCAAAAAGAAATCAGGTTCTGGTAACAAGCAACAAGATCATTATGCACTGTTAGGCTTAGCGCATTTGAGGTTTCTGGCTACTGAGGAACAAATACGAAAGAGTTACCGTGAGACTGCTTTGAAGCATCACCCTGACAAGCAAGCTGCTCTTCTTCTGAACGAAGAAACAGAAGAGGCAAAGCAGGCAAAGAAGGATGAGATAGAAAATCACTTCAAAGCCATTCAAGAAGCATATGAGGTTCTAATTGATCCCGTGAAGAGAAGAGTTTATGACTCAACAGATGAGTTTGATGATGAAATTCCAACTGACTGTGCCCCACAGGACTTCTTCAAGGTATTTGGCCCGGCATTTATGAGAAATGCGAGGTGGTCTGTTACCCTGCCAGTTCCCTCTCTAGGAGATGAGAGAACTCCACTGAAAGAGGTCGACAGTTTCTATAATTTCTGGTACGGTTTTAAGAGCTGGAGAGAATTCCCACATGCTGATGAGTTTGATCTTGAACAAGCTGAATCTCGAGATCACAAGAGATGGATGGAGAGGCAGAACGCAAAGTTAAGAGAAAAGGCGAGGAAGGAAGAGCATGCTCGGGTCCGGACTCTTGTTGATAATGCTTACAAGAAAGACCCAAGAATACTTCGGAGGAAAGAAGAGGAGAAGGCAGAGAAGAAAAGGAAAAAAGAAGCAAAGTATTTGGCCAAGAAACAGCAAGAGGAAGAAGCAGCAAGAGCTGCTGAAGAGGAGAGACGTTTGAAAGAAGAAGCTGACAAAAAAGCAGCTGAAGCTGCTTCGAACCAGAAGAAACAGAAGGAGAAGGAAAAGAAGGTTCTGCGCAAAGAAAGAACTCGCTTGCGCACGCTCTCTTCATCCATTGTGTCAAAAACCTCTATTGATATTTCAGAAGATGATGTGGAGAGTGTATGTATGTCACTTGACATAGATCGGCTTAAATCTCTATGTGACAAGATGGAGGGAAAGGATGAAACTGATAGAATTCAACTGCTAAAAGATGCACTAGGCAAAGGAAACTCAAATGTACCAAAACCAGAAGAGAAGAGTCCACATGTAAATGGAGTTGGGAGTCAAATCAAGCCAGGTAGTGTACTAAACAACTATGAGAAGAAAGAGAGGCCATGGGGAAAAGAAGAAATTGAAATGCTACGAAAAGGGATGGTAAAATATCCAAAGGGAACGTCTCGGAGGTGGGAGGTGATCTCAGAGTATATTGGCACCGGAAGATCAGTTGAAGAGATACTGAAGGCAACAAAGACTGTTCTTTTGCAAAAGCCAGATTCTGCTAAAGCTTTCGATTCTTTTCTTGAAAAAAGAAAACCTGCACAAGCTATTGCATCGCCTCTTACAACTAGAGCAGAATCTGATGGTGTACCTCTTACTCTAAAGCAAGAGAAGTCTGATGAAAAAGCAACGAAGGAAACTCCGAGTAGTGATGGTCTTGCAACTAATGGAGTTTCTTCCTCAAATGCTGAGGATATTTGGTCTGCTGTTCAAGAGAGAGCTCTGATTCAGGCTCTTAAGACATTTCCAAAGGAAACTGCTCAGAGGTGGGAGAGGGTTGCTACTGCTGTTCCTGGAAAGACTGTGAACCAGTGCAAAAAGAAATTTGCGTTGATGAAAGAGAGCTTCCGGAACAAGAAAAGCGCTGATTAATTTGCATATTTCTTTCCGTTGCGTAGGGGGCAGGCTTCACACATAGAATTATTTTCCATAAAGTTTGGTTTCATTTTGCCGGTGAGATACTACTTGGGGTGGGGGGTGAGGGGGCGAAAGAGCATTATAGTCGTTGGGTATCTTAGATGAGAATTAATTTTCACACCTACATTGAGTTTTTCTTGTTTCTGTAATTGTAAGGTTCTAGTTTGCTATTTGAAGCGGATGTTGGGCTGTGGAAAGTTTTGCTGTTCGAAGTAGGTGTTGGGGTGAGAAATTGAGAATGGAGAATCAGCTGATTTGTTGCTGTAAATG